AAAACGACGGTCATTTTTCTAATTTCATAAACAACAGAAGACTGTATTTTTTCTACATAACCCCCCCCCCTGACTTTAAAGCTGGATCCGCCCCTGCTTGTAAATCACTATCATTTATTAAATTTGGGAATATCATTGCAACATCAGAAATAGATTGTAGGGAACCTAATCTCACTATTCCAGAATCCATAAAACATTATTTTATCATATTTATTACCTATATGGCGGGCTTGATACATTTTATGTTTAAAAAAAAACTCTAAAATACGCGGTGTGCTAAAATAAAATGTCTGCTATTACCAACGTACTTTGATCATGAATGAATGTTATATTATTTTAAGTAATCCACGGAAAGGTTTGCAACTTTTATTTGTTACTTTTCGGTAGAAATCTGCATGGTATCGGTAGATCGGCAGGTTCCTTGACAAATCGGTAGATCTACCGAAAAATCGGTGGACCTGGCATCTCTGGGTTTACGCGAAATGAAAATTTCCGACGACACGTTGCGCGTGCTGTTCCGATATGGGAAAACTGCAGGCAACGTCGCATGTGCTAAAGGAACTGACAGCCAAACTGTTACATAACCTCAATCATCAGGAAGAGGCAGTGGGACCCCAAAGTGTGTGTTTAGTGCATAAACCGGATTTACCATACAATTCTAGGTAAGTTTACGCATAACCCATGTATTTTTCTCTTAAACCGCCTAATTTGTCCGTACATAAAGCCGTTTAAGCTGCATGTAAAAATTCACTTCTTCAACACCCCCTTCAGCCTCAAGTAGCGCACAATTAAGGGCACTGAGCCCAAAGTGATGGCGATGCGAACCGGGGCGAACATCTTATGAATAGCGTAGGCCACTGCGAAAGTGCCCGCATTGGACACAAGCACAGTTTTGCCGTGCATCCAGTTGTCGAGGCCTAAGTGCTGCAGTAATTGCTCTAAATCCAGTCCGCTGGACACTGCCAAGTAGCTGGTGCCTAAAGAGAGCAGCGAAATGCCTACGTGAAACACAATGACTGTGCTCCCGTAGTCTTTCACGGCCCTTTTCAGCTTCTGGCTGTTGGTCAGGGGAGCTTCGGGCTGCTTCATAGATAAATAGTGCTTTTGGCCGCTGGACCGCTGGACGGCCCCAAAAACCAGCTGGGAAGAGCGCCATGGGGCGTAGGCCCGATGCACTGCAAACGTAGGGCTGTGGAATGCGATTCAGGCACTTTGAGAGTGGACTTACCAAGCTGCGGACTGTGCAGCAGAAGCCTGGGGATGTTCATGGTTTTAGCATGGAAGCTGTTGACCTTTAATCCGCGTATTTATTTAAATTATTAAATCCTATAAAGTCTAACCTAGAAGTATGTTGTTCATGTTTACACTCTGTCAGGCTGACAGGGTTGCCAGGTCCGAAAATCGAGTTTCGGTAGAAAATCGGTAGACTCATTTTTCTTTCATTTCTTTCTTGAAGGGCCAGAGTTGGTTGGGTAGTCCAAAACCTCACCAAAAAAAAGGCTCCATAAAATCGCGAGTTTTTCAAAACTTGAATTTTTAAACTTACAGGAATACTAAAATAAGCATGAGTCAGTAAAGAAGTAAAGATGAAATTGTGCTCGTTTTTAGCTTATTTCTCAACTTAGTTTTCATCAGATTAACCTGTGAAAATATCCGTTCAACATTGGCTGATGAGTGATGTAGAATAAGCAGGTTACAAATAAAATTGGTTAAAATTGGAAACATGAATGTATCACCTCCATATTTCAATATTTGTACTTGGCTCCAAAACTCTTCAATATTTCCAGACATTTTTTAAATTTTGTTAACATTTTGCAACAGACGTCATTCTGTGTCCAGACCTTGTAATTCACTATCAGTTATTAAATTTGGAAATATCATTGCAACATCAGAAATAGATTGTAGGGAACCTGATTTCA